TTAGGTGCAAAGCACAATGTGATTTGAAGCTTAAAGACAAAATAACAATAGGTAATATGATTTCTTCTGTTTCATTCTCATGTAACACACATAAAGACTGTATGACAGAAAAGTCTGATCAGGTAAACACTTCTAGGCAGATAATAATTTCACAGCCTGTGAAATACTGGGAAACTGTCCATTGATCTAACATGTTTCTTGGGTTTATATGTGTTCATAAAATGAGTTATAGATTCTCTTGGCCAATTCCTTTTTCCTAAACATTGTGTGCTGCTTAGAGAACCAAGAACATTTTAAAATGAAAAGTGCCAATAACTTCTCAGGACAATTGCTTAAGGCACAGACCATGCTTTTTCAGAAAATGATCTTTGCCATGTCCATAGTAATATAGAGGTATCATTCCACTATTTCTATATCATTTTTTTAAAGCAGTCAACTGCTAATTGCTGTTGAGTGAAAATGGTATTCATAACATGTGACAAGCTGTATTTTTGCTCTCTCCATATAAAAGGTTTGTATTACTTCACTCTTCCAAATTGATTTTGTTTGTATAAAAATAATATGCTTTGTTGCTTGTATGTACAAAAACAATTTATCAAGACCTGACAAAGTAAATCTATGTGTAGCTGAGAAGTGTTCAATGATTCCAAATTAAAATCCTGGCTCCAAATGCTGTGCAGTTTGACAAAATGTCGGCAGATGTACATTTCTCATGTGTTTTATGAATGCTTCTCCATCTGGACCTTTACTATAATTACTAGCTCTCGCAGATCCCCAAACTAGCCATGACACAAACATTTGATGTTGTCTTTAGAGATAAACTCATAAATGCACTACATTACCACCTAATTAATCTTATTTTGTTTATATAAATGCTATGAAGAAGTGCTCTTTCTCTTGACAAAATCTCAAGGATGATTCATATTTTCTTCCTATCCATGCAGTTATATTTATTAATGTTGAAATAACAGCTATAAAGTGAGGGAAAACATAAAGGTAAGCTTTTCTTATATCTGTGAAAAGAATAGTGAACATTGGAAAACAATTACTATAATTAGAACACAAACGAGACAATAAGTAAAAGAAAAAATGTGTTGTTTTTCCTTTTTTCCCCTTTTTATTGACACAGTCAGTAGCAAGTGTGTCATCTGGAACATTATTTTTGTTTTGTAAAGCCATTCATTTGGTCTCTGAGGAGAAAGAAGATCAGCTAACCGTTCCATATTTGGATGAAACTTTCATGATAACCTAGTTAGTCATGGGAGTTTTCTAGCATTTTTTCAGTGAGTCTAAAAACTGTATCTAATCCAGATTTCTAACCAAAGGAATAGGAGAATGATTCAGTGTTTTACCATAGTTCTAAGGTGCAGACTGAATTGTGGAATTGAGTCAACATCACATACAGGATGCACGGAATGAACATTATTGGAGTACTGTAAGTGCTACACAGATAACTAAAATTTGACCTCATTCTAGCCTACTTCATCATCACTCATTCAATGGTAAACAGTGGGTCAGATTTTTTTTTTAAATAGATTTAGTTGCTGAAATCATAAAACACAGTGGTGAAGAGACAGTGATGAAGTGACTGTCATTAAATCACTTCCTATGTTACTGCAGATAATTGGATCACCTAATCCCTTTCAGAGACTGATGAAGTTGCAGGATAAGGCCTCTTCTGCCTGTGCTTCCTCAGTCCTCAGTCCTACTGCAGCAGGAACAGAAATATAGTTAATATATGGCAAGAAGAATGAGATAAACATTACTTATTTCAGTTGGACTTAAAACAAGAGCCTAGTTTTGCTGTTCCTGAGGTTTTGGTGATGCCTTCTCTTCTATAAAATACAGTCTCATGCACATGTTTAAATTAAACCATTACTTTGCTCTTGGTTTTTGCTCTGTAAGATGACATTTTTAGCATCATCATGACTAGATCCCAGTGTCTTCCAGTACAACCACACTTGCTTTGCAAGTACAAATATTTTTTCCAGTTGCTAGGACTGCAAACACAATGTAGAAACTGAAAACTAAGGCACTTGCAAATCAACTGTGGCTAGGGCGATGATAAGATTTGGTTTATTTCCTTTTTCCAAGGCTTCTTACCTTTTGCCCAGGAGTCCCCTTGTGGCCATTGTACACCAGATCTTACGGTCCTGAAAACGTTGTGGAGATAAAACCTGAGTCAACACTTCCATTAATGAAGAACCTACAATAAGATGAAATATCACTACAAAATAAATGGCCATATAAAGAATAGGATGTGTTGCCTCTGACAAAAATCCATTCTGCCCTTTTCAGACATTCAGCTGCCACTCTTTCATCTTTCTTGAATTAGGAAGACCACACGTAATCCTTCAGGAATGCAGGAGACTCTCTTCCTTAGTTTTTTCTTCCACAGAGAGAGAATCTCATGGAAATACTGGTGACTCTTACATTTGGAATTTTGTTTTTCATTAAAGATAGCATATCTTAAAGATCCACCTGTTGATATAACAAGATAAAGTCCATGCTAAGATGTAATTCCTTGACTTTTATGATCAGAATGCTTTTGAAATTTTCTGGTTCAAATGTCACTTGATGTCTTTGGTATCACATGGATGGGATCATATGACCCCTCTGGGATCTCCTGTCTTCAGGACAGTGGTGGTTTAGCTCTGTAATTTCAACCAAAATCTAAATTCTGAACTTCCTAATTCATGAGACCTGGACAGCTAGAATTAAAAGGTCCTGGATAAGAAGGAATTGAGGCTTGAGGTAACAGACTTCATCTGATTTATAGCCAATTGCTTGGGGAAATTGACCCTAGTTGTTCATGAATTCAGCAATATACCAATAAATAATGACAAGACTCTAAGCATCCAGGAGAGAAAAAAATCAATTTATCATCTTTGTCACACATGCCACTTTATGACTCTTTTTGCTTCTCTAAGCAAAATAATGTGTCCTCAAAATTAATTAGACTTTTGACATGATGTATCTATGTAGTTCTTTTTTAACTCTATGGAAGTGATTAATTGAAAAAGATGTTGAAGTGGAGATAATGTTGTCTTCACAGGATCTGTTGTATAAATTTTGATGTTATTGTTTTACCACTACATAGCTCTAAACAGGAATCTGTTTACACCACAAAAAAAAAAAAAAAAAAAAAAAAAAAAAAAAAAAAAAGATGAAAACCAGATTCTTCTTCTACATGGTTAGATATAGTTATTTGTAATCTTTTGTCTCTCATGTTTCCCATACTCTTATCCACACGAGACTTTTTGTCTTTGTGTCAAATATGGCCCTTCAGGTAAACTGAAGTGTGGATGCTGCTGTGGACATAGATTGAGTTTCTTTATGAGTTTCTTTATATCTATCTTACTCAAATACCCACAAACCTACTGTGCTCCTGAATTTCCACAGTGCTGATCTGTGGCTTGTATGCAAGGGTTATTTTATTTTACCATCTTTTTATTCAAAACATATTTTGGATGCCTGAGGTTACAGACTTACAAAGAGACAAAGCCTAACATTAAATATCTAAAAACCATTAAAAAAGAGATGGTTAAGTATAGCAAGGCTCAAAGGAATATTATTTTACTACGCCTTATATTATTTTACTATTGCCTTCTTATTACTTATCCTATCACAGTCACATAAAATACTGGTTATGAACAGTCACACCTAATAACTCCAAAACAAAATTTGTCTGATTTGTGCATCACTGAATGAGAAAATTCCAGCAGAACACATTGTGTCGCCAACATCAGGTACCAGCCTTGTATTCAGTTCTTTTTGTCACTATTTGAGGACACTCAGTTCTAAATACCTCCACAAATACATTCAAAAAGAATGTGGCCCTTTAGAGCTTAGTGGGGTGATTGCTTGTTGTTTGTTCATTTTTTTTTTGTCTTTTGTGTCTAAAAACAGAGGTACTAATAAAAGGATATATTGTTATATACTTTCTTATACTATTAGTTTTTGGATAAAGTACAATTTCTGTGAAAGTCTTTCCCTTTCCTAATGCATTATTGCGTTTTAAATGTTTCTTTCATTTTGTGTGATATTTTTGTGATTCATAATGTAAATATTTCTTTTTCATATTAACAGTATCAGGGTGAAGCATACTGAAAAAAAATAATTTTACAAGATTTTAATCTCAGCAACATTTATAAGCAAAGCCATCATCTTTTTTCTTATATATACAATATCAGTAACTACTCCTACATTAAAATAAATAAATAAATAAAAGCATAATCTTCAACAGAATAATGTTTCACTTAAAGGATAAGTTTCACTTAAAGTTTTTACCTTCAAAATTACATAAACAATACACATACCTAATCTTTTTTAGAGGCTGGCAAAAAGTTGGAAATTCCTTCACCCCATTTCTTTCTGCCCCTTTTCCTTCAGGTATGCTGTTACTCAGTACTCTTTAGCATAACATGAGATATATAATATTTGTTGAAAGAGTAACATACTGAAATGTATAGGAAGAACAACAAAACAGCAAATGTTCTTTGCCCTCTGGGAAGTCTTTCTAGATTCATAAAATTTCAGTTGGAAAAACACAATGACAGAAACATTTGCAAGTCACCCTTATGGGAAATATTTCTAGCTCCCAAATTATAAAATAAAAAGAAAGCTTTTTCAATATTGGATTCAGTATCACAAAAGGAAAGATATACTCCCAAACAATGATCACTCTTAATTGTATCTTTAAAAAAAAATCAGAACTCCTATGGAATTCAAAACTCTTTCATGAAAACTGTCATGTCAGAAGAACAGAATAATTATGGAGACAGAATACCCAGAGTAGACAGTGAAACACCACAATACTTTCAACTACACTTTTCAGGAAGACCTATAGACCGATGGGATAATCGGTCAGCTTCCTAAAATATCTGTTTTCTGAATGAGTCTTTCCTGTTGGCCTTTATTAAGATTAAGAAGGCAATATGGCTTCCACAATCAGCAAAAATACAGTGAAAAGCGGTCTTGTTTTGTTTTGTTTTTTTCAGATGCGGCCAGTACCATCACAAAGTTGTCCCAGAGACAGCTAGATATCTGTACACAAATAGAGAACTACATCTTCCATAAAACCCGAGTCAACATTGAAGGCACTCCTCAGTGGAAAAAGGTACAATATTCAAGATGGTTACTGAGACACCTCTCATTCCATCTTGAAGCAACAATATGTCATTGCTAATGCAAGGAATGGGTCTGCAATGAATAGGAAAGCATAAAAAGTTCACAGATCTGTCATGCTACATAATTTCACTAGAAGAGCAGTTCCCTTGTGTTCAGGCAGAATACAAAATCAAACTACAAATTTCAGTAGCACTGACCATGAAATATGGTGTATTTCGTAAGTACCTTCTGAGGGAACTTCAAGATTTATTTAGTCTTTCAGAATACTGGATGTATAAATTCATATATCTGTTCATTTTATCCTTATTGTGAAAATGAAGTCAAAAGTAATTAATTTTACTGAAATGACACACATTAATTTCAAACAATAGAAAAAAAATATAATAGGAATGACCAGAAATAGTTAAATGGCAATGTGAAATATTTGCTTAACCTCCTTTGAGTATGTTACCTCTTAATCTTACCAGCACTGTGCATAGAATTTCCATCTGAAAACTAACATATGTTCTTTAAGAGTTCAAAGAATGTACAACAAATATGCAAATAACAGAAGTCAAAACTATATGTCTTAGTACAGTGTTTTAATAATAAGGAATCATGATAATGATAACAAGGAAGAAACCATTACTAGTCTCTACTATTGTTTTCATTTGCAGTGCTCTGCAAAGGAGTTGACACAGTCAGGAAGCACTCACTAGTCAAAGCACAGAAGCAAGCAAAAATTTCACCAAATAAATGGGTAAGCTGTGGAATTTGGACCCTAGAAGCCAGGCTTATGCACTTGCAATGTTCTTTGACTTTACTACTGATCTAGCAACTATAAAATTTCTTGTGCATTATTTAGACACCTTTTTTTTTTTTTTTTTTTTCTGATTTAGCTTCTTAGGTTATGGAAGACACTACTACTGGGCAAAACAGAATATTCAAAATAAATATAACCCAAAGAAGATCAATGACAAACTTAGAAAAAGTAATATGGTCTGTAGGTCTGTAGAAAGAGATTAAGGTTGTGTGCAAGAGACTTCTAATCTTCAATAACATTTAAGATATTAAAAAAAAACCCTGACAGCTGTTTTTAATAAATAGAAGTCAAAGCCAGTCAATCTGTGATTTACGCACTAAATGTTCATCCATGCCCTACAAAACAACCCTGATATTTACTTTAGATCACTTCTTGTCTCTCAGAGGTGCTAAATACATGATATACCCATTTTCAACGGTGTCTGAAGATTGCCTCCCTGGTTAAACTCATTGTTTGACTCTTGCTCAGGAGAGCTTTATTTTATGGAATAAATGGTCAGGGTATCTCTGCAGTCCAAGTCTTCCTATCTGTCAACTAGATGTTTAAGTAGGCTGAAAAATTAGTTCTGATCATGACTTTGTCATCTGCCATTGTGGTTATGGCAGCACTTACTTTCTGTTCAATTTATTTTTATTTTATTTATTTATTTTAAATCAATAAAGCATTTAAGAGATATTAGCTTCTTCTCAACCTAAGGAACTTCAATAATGGTCCACTTTGTATAACAGAAACAGTTCTCTCCACTTGTATTAAAGTAGGACAACTCTTCAGTCATTTATGCAAGTTACTGGTCGTGGGTCACAGGGATCCTTAGTTTACCTTAGTTTACCGTATCCTTAGTTATTAATGTACTGGGCAATTGTTTGTCTAACTCTAAATGATGTTTAGGCTGGTGAAAACCTAGCATTCTGTGATGGCCTGATTTGAAAAGCCAATGCACTCAAGGAAACTGAAAGAAGTTTGAGGAAGTTCTCTCTTGCATATTTTACTTATGCCATCTTCTCACTGACCTATTTTCCTGATACTCCAAATGCTACAGGGGACACTCTCTCCCCTCACAGTGTAAAAAATGATGAGTTGTGTTCCTCCTGTAATATCTCAAATAATAAAAGTGATGTAACCCTTTACATGGCATGCTGCACATTCACTGGAGGCTCATTCAATGCTGCACAACTTGGTGTTCCCAGTATCTAAAGGGGATGAAATCATTTTATTATTGTCTTTCTTCATTATGCTAGCTCTAACAAACAACAGTTTAAATGATACGTTGCAGAATCTGAATGTCTTTCTTACTGAGATCATAACAGATCAGTACCTCATGGTATGAAACAACACAGAATAGTGGTGCAATGGAGCTTCAGATAAGGGAGAAGGGTCTGGCTGAGATGAAGTTAAGTTTTCCAACAGCAGCCCATATAGTGCTATGCTTTGCATTTGTATCTAGAATAGTGTTGATATTGCACCAATGTTTTGACTGTTGGTGAGGAGTGCTGTCACAACATCAAGACTAGCTGTCCAGCTCCCAGGAGACTGGGAATGGGAAAAAGGTGGAGAGAGGGCATCACCAGGACATCTCTCTTAAATCAACCGAAGGGATATTCCATAACATTTAACTTCACACTCATCAATAAAATCTGAGGGGAAGAAGAAGGGAGCACTCTTTTTATGATTCTTTTTATGAAAGCATTTGTCTTCCCAAACAACCACTACATGCATGAGGCTCTGCTTCCCAAGAAGTGGCTGAACATCTCTTGATGATGGGAGCTAGAGAACTTTTTTTTCTCCTTCTGCCTTTTTTTTCTCCTTTCTTCCATTCAGCCTTTTATTATTTTTTTATTTTAATTGCATTACACTGCCTCTATCTCGAACCCACTAATATTTTTTTTTCTTCCTTCTCATTTTATCTCCCCCCCTCCTCATCCTGCTGAGGAGGGAAAGTGAAAGAGTGGCTGTGTCATACTTAGCTGCCTATCAATGTTAAACCACAACAGAAAGGAATGGTGAAGAGAGATGAAGTAGCTATGAAAGGGAAGAAAATCATCAGTGAGATGGGAAGAGCATTGGTCAAAAAGACAACACCTGTGCTATAGCAACTGTAGAAGTGAAGTAACTTTTACACAAGCTAGCATCAAACTAATTGGATTACATTCCACTTATGGTCCAACCAGTAATAGTGAGCATGCTGTGAGTTAGTTTGTCATTTTCGTATGCAGGTTTAACTGACTTATTTTAAGCATGGTGTTACTGTATCTAGCCTCCAGTATTTATCTCAGCTTTGTCAGTGCAAAACTTGTATATCTTTATATTATATACACTAAAGGAGACATAAAGCTGAAAAATCCATTTGAATGGGAGAGCTGAATCAATATTTAAGACAAACAAACAAACAAACAAATAAATATTAAGAATGGTCATCACTTGAAAATGATGATTTCAACAAGCAGTGTAGAAAATTCTTAGTATAAGAACAGAGAGAGACAGAAAGCAAAAACATTGAGGAAATGTTCATGGAAGAGTATTGGATAATAATGTCAAATGAAGAGACACTGAACACAGGAAGAACAGAGGAGTCAGGACGACTGTAACTTGTACTAATAAGAAATAAGCAACCCAATACTTCCAACAATATAACATTCAAGAATTAGAGAAAGAAGATAAAAAGTCTTCTTTGTAGCAGGTAGCTTCATGGGCATGATCAAAGAGTGATACTGTTCTTTTTTTCTAGTAGAAGACCTGAATCTGATGTTATTCACATAGTCACAATAATCCATGTCTTCATATTTTACTATTTAATTTCCATTTCTGGATTTTCTGATGACTGAAAAGAAGAGAACTAAGTTGCACTGATTGGTTTTCATTGAAATGAGGTTGTAAACCATTTTCCCCATGAAGTTTGCCTGAAGCACAGAAAATTCTAAGGGTTTTCCCAGTATCTTACAGACAACAAAATATGGATTTCAGGTTTTAGTGTAAGGTCCAAGTTCATGGAATTTTTTGAAGACATGTAAGAAACTCATTTTGCCCCAGCTATGTTTTTGTTTGTTTGTTTGTTTGTTTGTTTGTTTTTCCAGCCTATTTTGATCTATTCCTAAATTTTGGTTTACTAACATAAAGTTACATACAGTGAATGTGATATAGTTTCATTGATATACTGTGAAAATTAGCAAAAATTGTCTTTAATTAGGCAAAGCTCTTTTAGCATCAGCCATTGGGCCAGTCTTCATATTGTGAATATGTAAACTGCAAGTAAAATAAACATTGAATTATAACATACCAGTTAGCTGTACATGTTAATCCTTTCATTTTACATTTTAAATTGTAATCCATTAATTTCCTTGAACACAGCAATGAAAAAGAAGAAATAGCTGAACTACTTCTATACACATTTTTGCTCATGAAGATGCAAAAGTAAATGCATAGTTAAGAAACAGACCTAGGAATCAAAAGCTCTTGTCCTCATTTCTAGCTACGACATGTCTCCTTCCTAACTCTAGTAACTTTCCTGTTTCTCAGTTTTCCTGCTTACTATCTGTGATCATAATTTGTTCACGTGGTTTATGAGAGTCATAACAGTGACAGGGAGACATCTCCATGACATTCAGAAGTGAGAACAAGGAGACTAAAGTGGCTACTGACTCCCCAGCAGGAGCAGACATTGATGAAGAGAAATAGATACAACTTTATGCTGTAATGTCATTGTTCATATCAAAACATAATCAAAATGTTTATACACCCTCATGCTGCATAAAAACTCCCCAGGTGAAAATCCTCTGGTGACCTTCACTGACAAGACCAATGTATAAAAATTCATGGAGTATATACATTCCTGCCTTTTTTCCCAGTGTCCAGACACTAGATATGACACTGTGAGTTTACTGACTAGGGACAGGTTTCCCTCCAATGCAGTCAGGAAACAAGTGGGGCATATAGCAGAGCTGGAAGTCAAACCTCAGTCCTACAATTCACACAGTGCTATTGAAACAAGAAAGAATAATTTAGAATTCTCTTATTACTCCAGAGACTTGGGAAACTGCCATTTTATCTGGCACATAAGCAAATGCAAAAGTTGCAACAAACAAACAAAAAGATAAATGCAGCTGATGAAAGCTTCTGCTCTCATTTACTTGAAATTTTCACTTACTTGAGCAAACTAGCATTCTCCACTGATTAGAATAATTCCTGGTTTATCCAAGTTAAAGGAGAGAAGAATTGGGCCTCATGAGACTAGCTGGAAATGTTTCATGGATCTATATTTCAAAAAGGTACATATTCACAATAAACAACTCCAGATGCTTCTTGATACCAAGGAAAGTTAAACTTTGTGATCATTTGTTTAATTTGGTTCACTCAACCAAAAAGAAAATAGAGGATTAGTCCTTCAATCACAGTCTTAGTCATCATTGTTTGCCTTACGCATCCAAAAATACAACCAAAAAGACCAAAAAATTAAGAAAAGCAATACCAAAGATAGAAAACAGATTCATTCAAACTGTGGATGAAGCAGAGTTCTATGGTATCTAAGTTTCTTGTTTTCTTTTTCATTATTTCAGCAGATGTTTCCAGTAAGGAAAAGATTGGTTGATGGTTTGTTTGTAGAAAACTATGTCTTGTAATGCTCTCTTAAGCAATAGGGAAAGTTACAGTTAATAAAGGAAATGAATACAAGCATCTTAAGCCCTCTTGCTTTACTGAAGTTATCTAGCCTCAGGGAAGGGAAGGGAAGGGAAGGGAAGGGAAGGGAAGGGAAGGGAAGGGAAGGGAAGGGAAGGGAAGGGAAGGGAAGGGAAGGGAAGGAAGGGAAGGGAAGGGAAGGGAAGGGAAGGGAAGGGAAGGGAAGGGAAGGGAAGGGAAGGGAAGGGAAGGGAAGGGAAGGGAAGGGAAGGGAAGGGAAGGGAAGGGAAGGGAAGGGAGAATGAGTCAAACACTTTCAGCTATTT